TCATGAACTGAGCTCGAACACAATTTCGAGCACGATGGTTTATCGAGCTTGAGATCGAACAAACCTCCCGCTCGATTTGTCAGCTCGTCGAGCAGCTCGACGACGGAGCTTGTGGACGGGAAATCCAAAATGATAGAGCTCGCGAGCGGGAAATCCAGAATGACGGAGTTCGTGAGAGGGAAATCCAAATTCCTAAATGAGTGATTACTTGATGGCGGACGAGCTCGGGATGACGATAGTTACACTTAGGATGATGAGGGACAAGCTCGGATCGATGGATCTCAATGGCAGATGCGACGACGAGCTCGGGACGATGGATCTCAACGACGGAACTTGGGACCATGACAGAAGGATGAGCTTAGGACTACGAAGGATCTTCGAATGACGGAAGCGACGACGAGGGATGGAGCTCAACAGCGAAGCTCGATGAGCCGCTCGACATGAAGACGAGTCGAGCTCGACTTGAACACCCTCTGGCTCGAGCTCGACTTGACTCGACTCATTTGCACCCCTAGTGGTGGCTGGTGGTGAGTAGCGGTGGGTAGTAATTTCTGGTATATTTGGAACTTACTCAAATTTGAGGAATATTAATACACTAAAAATGAATTAGAAGTTGAATTTCAAATGCATCAAAATTTTGCATTTGTTTTACTTTAACCCAAACACTAACTTTTTTAAAACCCATGCATTTAATATATTTTACACTTTTGTTGTAAAGTAACCAAATGACCCTTTAGTAAATTCGAGTATTTTAGGTGTACAAATGTATGTGATATGAATTTTCAGAAAAAAAAAAAACTTTTGATTTATTGAAAAAATATATTTAAATTTCAGAGATAGAGCATATTCTATGTATAATTTTTTTTATTAAAAATATTTAATTCTTGTATTAGAATGTAATTTTATCAAAAGAAATTTTATATATTTTTATTTTTATCTCTACTATTGAGTATAACAGTATTTTCCATTTTTTATTTATCGTATATATATTAAAAAAAGTTAATAGTAGTTCATATAAAAGACACGTAATTTTTTATATGAAATCTCCATGAAGAGAAAAAATTCACGCAACAATATGATCCAATTGAAATAATTTGACTTGAGTGATTCAAAGATACAAAAGTAATCATCTCCAATCATTATAGAAGGCCTTGATAAAATTTAATAGACCTGAATCAAGACAAATGATTTCTATGATAGAAATAGGAAGAGCCTTAATATGCTGGAGTTAGTAATCATCTTCTCAATTCATCTCATTATAGGAGAGGTGTTCAATGACCAAGGAGAGCATTAACTTTCATAACGGTTGCGACGACAAATGTCAATGTTGTTTGTGATGACAAACATCTAAATAGTTAGCAATAATGGACATTAGCCGTGTTAGCGACAATAAGTGCCAACCTAAGTGGCAACATTGTGTGGTGACCTTGTTTGCCATAATAACAATCTTTGTGCAACGATTAGTGTGGGCCTTGATATCGATGATGATATTTACCTTATTGGTAACAACAAGCACCCATCTTATTATCAATAATGAGCCTCGAAGTTGGTGTTGATGATGTCTTATTGGTGATGACGGTTAGCAACCTTGTTGGCAATGATGAACATTGGTATTGTTGATAGCAAGTGTCAACCTTCCTAATGGCAATGATATCAATGTTGGGCATTGACCATTTTGGCGATGATGAACAATAGCGGTGGTGTTGACTTTAAGCAACAACTTGGATAGTCACTATAGACACCAAGATTGGTGTCGACATCGAATTACACCATTGTTAGCTACTGTAATAGTCAAGATTGGCATGGATAGAGAGCATAGTCTTGTTGGCGATGGGGGCATCCACTTTATTTTCGATGACAAGCGCTAATGCTGTTGTCAATAATGAGTGTCAAATTATTATTGATGGGGAGCATCAACACTTCTGTGGATCATGAGCACTAATATTGTAGTTGGTGATAAATGTTGGCATTGGTGTTTTTGATAGTAGAAGTTAGCAATGGCATCGAATGTGGGTATCAACCTTAGTGGCCATGATTGTCGTCAGTGGTGGTAGTGATGATTGATTTTGGTGATGCCAATGAAGGCTAACATTAATGGTAGTGATCGATAATTGGCACCAACGGTGATGGGATGGTAGGCGACAATGGGTGTCGATAGTGATGACTAAAACTAGTATTATTTATGCATTTTATATACCATGTTAATTTTTTTTTAAAACGTTATTTTGTATACCATGTTAATTGTAGAGGGCTTTTTATACAAATTAGGGAGTGCTTTCATGACATTCATTACCGTTCTCTTTTCAAGAATGTTGAAGTAACATCATGGGCGGATCCATATAGTGCCCAGGGTGGCCAAATGCCGACCCTCAAATTGTTGAAGATACTCATTGAATGATATCTTTATCTTATAAAAATTGTAAGGTGCTTGCTTTCTAGTTTCTATAAAAGTAGGAGGTAAGCTTTATCCAATGGAGAACGAAATGACTATTGGTTTATAAGCTGTGTTTAGCAGACAACCAACTTTAGGAAATGATAGATTTTATTTTTTCCTTTTTGGATTTTTTTCCTATTCTTTTCTTCCATGGATGTATGTGTTGGCTTCTTTGAAGCTCTTATATGCAAGTTGTCATGCATATTTTATGATTTAATTATCTTTTTTTTTTTTCTAAATTAGATAACTTTTAGCTAATTTATTATTATTTTTCTCTAAGTTAGAGAATAGGTTCAACATAACTTACATGATTATACTCCAATTTATATTACTAAAATTAATATTATATTGGAAGTTAAATGATAAAATTTTCTTCTTATAAATTTGATAGCATTATATTGATTAAATTAAATAAATTATTATTATTATAAGATCAGATAATAAATATAATAGAGACCATAAGCTTTACATCTTTCAAATAGATCTACCCATATTTCTGACCTCACAAACATTAAATGTGAATTTTGTAAGAGGGGTACACCAAGAATTTCTATATAGATAAAATTTAAGATAATGATAGAGACACTATTTTTTCATGTCAATAATTAAGAAGAAACAAAGTGACCTATTATGAAGATGAGGGGTGATCATGAAGAAGCGGTGGATATTATTCTCATTGTTAATACTCTTTTAACTTATTTATTGTAGAAGTTCAAATAAGAACTATTCTTGCATTTATGAAAAACTTTTCTTTTGATGGAAAATAAACTAGTTACACTTATTTCTGCATGAAAAAGTGAAAAAAAAAATCTCTCATTGTTGCATCATGGAGTATTCGTGGCAGTAGAGAAATATAAAGTTTTTAACGTATGAGCTTCTTACGAAGATCTAGCACGCACACAAATGAAAAAAGAGGGTGCAACATTTATAGGAGATACCAAGATTTTTATGTGGAAAACCCCTGAAAAAGGGGGGAAAACCATGGGGCCTAGCTCAGTTTGCATGAATTTACTAGTATTTGCAGTTAATTACAAATGAGGCCCTTTATTGGGGGGAAGGGCTTGACTAGATGTAATAAATATACATCATACAGTGTTTGTTACATGGTGAAAATAGAAAGAATCACTGTTGATGTGTTCGATTAGTCGGAAGGGACATAGTCGGTGGAGCGACGAAAGTCGGAAGGACCGTAGTCGGCGGGCGACGAAGGTCATAAAGACTGTTATCTGATGACGGAGGTCGGAAGGACGACGTTGGGTAGAATTCCAGCGATGGACAGAAGTCCAGCATTAAATAGAAGTTTGACGAATGTCCGACATCGGGTAGAAGTCTGGCGGAAGTCTGATGTTGGGAAAGAATCCAGCGACAAGCGGAAGCCCGATTTCTGGTAGAAATCCGGTGACGGACGAAAATCTCGCGTTGGGTAGAAGTTCATCGACTGACCGAAGTCTGGCGTTAGATAGAAGTCTAACGAGAGTCCGACGACAAGCAGAAGTCTGGTGTTGGGTAGAAATCTGGTGACGGGTAGGAAGTCCGACATTGGGTAGAAGTCTGACGAAAATTCGGCGACGGGAAGAAGTCCAACGACGGACAGAGTCCGACGTCGGGTAGAAATCCAGCGACGAGCGGAGGTCCGGTGTTAGGTTAAAGTCCGACATTAGTCGGTTGCTGGGCAGAACTTCGGCGTTAGATGACATTCGGGTAGAACTCTGGCTTCGATATGCTACCAGGTGAAAGTCCAACGGTGGTCGAGAAAGAGTCTCTTCTTTCTCTTCCTTGTTCCCTTCTCGTCTATTCTTGCTTTGGCATCCTTCCACTCATTTCCTCCCCTTTCTATGATAAATGAGATGTCTATTTATAGTTTTATGAAAGTGGCATGGTCAGTAAATAAGTAAGAGATCAGGGGCAAGTTGGGAGTGGTTTGAATAGACAAGTGATGTTGAATTTGTCATTTGATTGTCTTAATAATGTCGGAATTCCGTGATATTGGGCTCGTTGGATTCGTCTCGTCGAGCCGCTCGATTTGATTATAATCATGTCACGTTTGGAAACTGTTTCAAATTGTGGTTTGAACCATCCGAATATTCTTTGGGCCTTCGATTTGGACCAATTTGAGATCGGATTGGGTCGAATTAGGTGTCGTTGGGTTCATATTTCCGAGACGTTCAGTTCCACCATAAGTTTGCAGTAATCGGAGTTCAAATGATCTCCAATTTAATTTTTGAAATTTCAAATTTGATTTGCTCCGAGATTCATGTCTGATCAAGATAATTTTTTTGATGATATATCACTCTTATAAGCACCAAAAAAAAAAATCGTCTCTCTGAATTACTCTTTCCTCTCTCCCCTCTTTTCTCTCTTACCTTTAGATAATAATTTTTTCTTCTAATTAGCCAATTGTTATTGAACTTCCTCATTAAGAGTTTAGTGAAACGGGCCCGGGTTAGCTCAGCTCACCACACCGGGTTAGGAAAGGTCAACGGGACCAGGTGTGCGGTCGAACTGGTCTCGGCCCGGTCCATTCTCGAAAGTCCAAGCCCATCATCCTAAATTAAGTTTTCGACGATTGCCATCGACCGACTCTAATTCTGCTAGGGTTTTCTTGAAGAGAGGCCGAAGGAAATAGTCGGACCCTCAAACGGAAGCCGACGACAAGGCAGCTCCGACACCGATGAGCGACTAGGCCATGATACCCAGCGGCATCGGAGAACTCTAGGAGGAGCGGCTCCGATCGCGGAGCAGCGGAAAGTCCGCGATGAACGGCGAACAGATGGACATCGAGGCCTATGCGGCACTATATACTGGAAGGACGAAGGTCTTGAGGCTTCTGTTCATAGCGGAACAGTGCGGAAACCAGAGTATGCAGCTGGAGGCCCTCCGTATGGCCTATGACGAGATTAGGAAGGGTGAGGACTCCCATCTCTACCGGCAGGTCGTGCAGAAAATCGACGCAGGACTAGGCCCGCACTGCGAATTGGACCATTCTTGGGCTGACGCTATCGACCGCCGCGCTGAGCAGCGAAAGGAGAAGCTTGAGAACGAGCTCAATAGTTACAAGGTAAGCGTTACTCGACATTTTCGGACTAAATTTATTTGTTTTCTTGGTTGTTTCCTCTATCCGGTCTGAAAGCCATTTAAGAAAGTATAATTGATAGCTGTTGACATAAGGTGAATTTGGAAAATCAGCTTGTTTTGGGATCTTATAAAATTTTTTCCATATATATATATATACAACTATGGGAAATTATTTTGGATGGTTATTTTGAAGTTTTACTTGGATCATGTCTTATTAAGAATTGTTGCAATATAGGAAGTGTAATAAGTGGAAAGTTGTTGATCTTGCTTCCATTATTTACTGAGTCATGAGCAGCAGTATGAGCCTGGGCAGCAGCTTTATGAGTCCTATGTTGTTTTTTTTGGAAATGTAAATGGATTGTGAAGACTTCTCTTTGCTAGGTGATTTTTGAACAATTTGTACATACTGTCTTATGCATGCTTACACATACGTGTTGATATAATATGGCATAATTTACCTGTTTTTGAACTCTTTCATGTGGGCTTACATTTTTTTCACGAATCCATACATTCCTTAATGCTAGATTGTTGAGTTCTTCAATGTTTTAGGGATGTAAATTTACTGAAGAATTATATATGTATCTCTTTTGCATAAAGGATAGTGTTGAAGAAATGTTGGTTTTCATAATTTCCTAGCAATTCTAGATTTTTCTTTCCCTGCCTTAAGTCAATTTTTAGAAATGGAGCCTTGTTTTTCTTTGTTTATAGGGTTCATTTCATAATACATGCGGGTGCCAAATATATTTTTATTGTTTATAATAGTTGGATTTATTTATGAGCTTATTTAGGTTCTCTAAACCTAACAGGCAGCAGTTTCTTACTTTTGTTATCTATAATTTTTTGCTCAGACAAATTTGATTAAGGAAAGCATCAGAATGGGCTACAATGATTTTGGAGATTTCTATTATGCTCATGGTCAAATTGGTGATGCATTTAAGAATTATGTTCGAACTCGTGACTATTGTACTACTTCGAAGCATATTATTCAAATGTGTTTAAATGTGATACTTGCTAGTATTGAGCTGGGCCAGTTCATGCATGTTTCCAACTATGTGTCTAAAGCTGAGCAAACACCTGATTCATTGGATCCCATTACTGTTGCAAAATTACGATGTGCTGCAGGATTAGCTCACTTGGAAGCTAAGAAGTACAAGCTTGCTGCTCGCAAGGTCAGTCTACTGTGATCTTAACATGCCTAATTTCTGCTATAATCTTATGTGATTTGTGTAGTATGTGTTTTGTGTTCAGTAATGGATGTGATTATAGAGTTTAGGTTGGGCTTGTAGTGCATAAATATAGGGTTCTAATTATTGGTTTAACATAAGCCAACTCAATTTGAGTCATATATTTTTAGGCTTTGATAACAGTCACTCTTGCTTTACGACTCTTGTAAAATTGTATTCTTGTGTAGCAAGAGAGTGTAAATCAATAAAAATGCATTTTATAGCAAAATTGTTATGCAAGTATGAGTGTTCTATGAAATTCAAATGCAAGAATATTGAAACTATAAATTCTATTTCTTTGAATCTATGAGCACCGACACTTCACCTCAAAGAGGCGTGCAGTGTCCGACACGACACTCGTCCGACACTCCTCCGACACGTGTCGAGCACACCGAAAACGTGTCCGGTTAAAAAATATTAAATACAAATTGGACACGCGTGTGACACGCGTATCTTAAATATTTAATGATTTTTTTTTAAATATAATTTCTTGTATTTTGCGGGATTTAAACTAAATTTCTTATTTCCTATCCACAATAACAAATCAACGATTTATTATTTCCTATCCACAACACAAAATCAATGTCTGCACTTAATACCCATTCATCAAATAATTTAATTTTCATTTCTCTTTGGTAGTGAAGGTATTTTCATCTCCTCTCTCGGTGACTGATAAACGGCATCGACGCCTGACTCTCGACATCCTTATACTAATCATTTTAAGCACAAATTCTAGTTAAATGATTTATTATTTTCAAATTATTTTTAAAATTATACTTATTTAATTTTTATACACTATTTTTTAAATATAAAAACTATAATACCGTGTCCAACCCGTGTCCGTGTCCTATATTTTCAATAACTGACGTGTCCCGTGTCCGTGTCGTGCCGCCGTGTTCGTGTCTGTGCACCATAGCTTTGAATCATGATTATGATTACTTTTTCTCTATGACTAAGTTGTACTTTGCAATATCATTCATGGGAGCATAGGTGGTTGGATAGGTGTGGCTTGTGTGATGAATTCATTATATAAAACATAGTTTTTGTTTTATTTATTTTTATGATACCATTATTGTTCCTAAATGCATGAATAAGATTTTGACTATATTCTCTTATAATTTGTAGATGTTTTTGCATCAGGAATTAATGTATAAAATGTGATTGAGAATATGAATAAAAATCTTTGATTTAGAAATAAAAATATTATCATAATGTTTGTTAACCATATTTCAACTATATGAGGTCAATTTTATGAATTCTCCTTGTCCATTTGATTCTATTGACTCACATCATATTCAAACTCTTTTAGGGATGCACTACTTTATTGATGTGTATTTTATCCTTTATCATACATGATAAAATCTTGCAAGTATATATTCAATTACTTTATATTTGGCAGGTTTTACTTTCATTGTCAGGAGATTATGATCAATTTCACTCTATCCTTCATAATTTTTTTTCAGAATTCATGTTAATATTCTTATTTTTACCACCCTTTTAACTTTGTTTTGCCTAATAATTGAATCCATAAAACATTATAAATTTAATTACATTTTTTTTTCTGAGAGATTTTATTAGTTTTCTATTTTAAGGGATTGTTCCTATCTTCTAGTTTATTTTAAATTTGAATAGATTTTTTAGATTTGTGTAGGATCTTTATAAATAGATATCAGGTTTGTAATCTAAATTCAGATGGGATCTATGTTGCACACCGATACGGATACAACGACATGGATACGACACGATACAAATACGAGACACATCAATTCTTAAAAATACATGATACGGGTACGACGCGGACACATCATTGTAATTTACAAATCATACATAAAAATTAAGAAAGCAATCAAAGCTAAATATTTGAAATGACAAAAAAAATGAAAGCACCATCATTTGTAGCCTTGTAGCTTATAATATCAAAAGAAAAGTAAGCATTGAGTCAAGGGAAGAGTTAAAACACATTGCCTAATAAGAATTTTGTGGCATGATTTCACTAATTATGTTGTTGTATGATTTGGTGGCATGTTTACTGAATAACATATGAGAGCTAAACTTTTTTTTTCCCATTTAAGAAGACATACAAACCACAATAATATGATTTTTTTAATACATGTATAAAAAATCAAAGCATTACAAATGCAAAATAATTGATGCTCTAATATCATATTTTCTAGTAAACTAACATCAATGTAAATGACTCGCAGGTTCGAAAACGAGAGAACATCGCTTGTAGCCACGGAAGTAAATATGACGCGTCTTTTTTCAGATTTTTTTTTCGTCTTTCAACGGACACACGTATCCGATACGCATGTCCTTTTTAAATTAAATAGTATTTTAATTGGATACGGCTTTGACATATCCAACATGTATCGGTGCCGTATCGGACGCGTATCGTGTCTGACACGTATCCGATACAGCGCGCCTTGATAAATAGGTGTATCGGTGCAACATAGGATGGGATTGAGTGGAAGTATAGTTTCATTTCTCAAAACTTCATCCTATTTTGGTTATTAATGTCTTTGTCTCTCTTTTCTCTTTATTTTTATTGTTCGAGCACTACTGCAAAAAACTTGTTTTCAAGCACTACGTATGAATCTGAACTTTATTGGATGATGCCTCCTTCAAGCACTAGTTCTATGCATCCTACAACCAATGGTCTTCCAAAGGGTCAATTATAACCCTTATAGATCCAACCACAACCCTCATCGATCGAGCCGTTGGAAATCTATGTAGAACATATTCTGTTGTTGTTTTCTCATCTTTTTAACCCTAGAAAATGAATTCAATTGCTTTTTAAGATAGAAGATGATGACAAAATTTTTATGCCTTAATGCATTCCATAGGGCCTAATTCCTTTGTCTTATATGCTTCCCTCCTATTCCACAAGCTTTTTGCACACCAATTAAAGATCATATTTTGATATAAAAGTGCTAGTTCTAACCCTCATGAATTTTTTTTAATGTTAAATTAAGAACTCAAAAGGATATTCTTGGTGATTATGTGAAGCCTAAGGCTTATGAGCACGAAAAGAGAGTATAGACAATTAAAGGTCTTCTATGCATGAAAACGGAGATAACCAAGCAGATAATTGATCAGATGTCCATGATAAAGGAATAAATGGCCTTAATGATGGTTGTCTTTGAAGCTCAACACCAACATCTACTCCACCTATCTAAATAGAAAGAGTGACATGTGTCCTTGAAGCGAGCACAAAATTTATGGCAGTTATGGAAATAAATAAGTCTTTTTTCCATTGGACAAAATGCCTAGCATGTGATTGTAAAGAAGGAGAACAATAAAGGTTGGAACATAAGAAAGCCATTAGACCATTTTGTTTCTACTATAAAAAATCAAGCACAAGCTCATGGATTACCATAATTTATGTAAAAAAAATGACAAAATAGGAAAACGAGAGAAATTTTCACCATCACTTCAAAAGAAGTAATTAAAATACGAGTGATAAAGGCATAACCTATAGTGTCCTTGATATTTGCTTTTTTTTTTCAGATATTTCTTTTGTAAGACAGTCTATGAAGTTGTTCCACTCAGTGGCGGAGCCAGAAATATTTTTTGGAGGGGGCACCAATTATAGAGTTTAAAAATATCTTCAACATTTTTCATTCGAGCTTCAAATTGACATCAATATTTTTAAAAAATTGTGTTGTTAACATAAAAATATAAATTACATGAAAATTTTTATTAATGAAGTGCATTTGGGTTAATTAAATAAAAATAAATATTTTTTTAATTATGTAGTAATATATTAAAAAACTAAATGGCTATTAAAATACAATTTTTTTTTGACATATATGAATAAAAGTTTTGAGATCCTTTTCTCCATAATTCATGCAATTATAATTTATTATATTCGCTTCATCAAAATTCACATCAAACATAAATTTGAGTTTTAAAATTAAAGAAAATCACAAATTAAATAAACTATATATAATTAAAATAAGTTACATGTTATATAGTTTAAGACAACCATAGTAGAGAGAGAAAATACCGAAAGAGGGAGAAGAAAAATTACTTATCTTGTCGAAGTTGAAGACGGCTACCGAATGAGAGAGAGAGAGAGAGAGAGAGAGAGAGAGAGAGAGAGAGAGAGGGAACTGGAAAGAGGAAGATTAGAAGAGAGAGGGAGAGCAGAATCCGATTACTCATGGCCTCATACACCTCAGTGGCAAAACAATAGGCATAATTTCTTGTAGATCACAAAGGAAATGCTAATTATTCTGGATCTGTTTATGATTTTGCTTTCCGATTATTAATCTGATAGGAAAAAAAATTTGAGGATCTTGGTTGTTCGTTAGCTTTTTTGAGAGAATTTTTCTAAATTCCATAAAATCCGATCAAAAATGATTTTTATCAATGAATTTTGACTTTTTCTTTTTTTTTGCATATTTTATCATCAATAAATGGTTTTTTTTCTTGTATCATCAACTTAACTGAGTAGAATGAATCAAGGGAACGTTGCATATGAGCTGCCGAGGATGGGACAAGGAAGATGAGGAGCACCAAGTGGAACTGTCTAGGACTTGCGCCATGCCGAGCGGGTGAAGGAAGATGAGAATGAGCGATTAGGCCATGCATCCTTTCGGCTGTAGAACAACGCTGTAATGAAAATTGCACTTTTTTGAGGGGGGCACGTGCCCCCCTAAATCCGCCTCTGGTTCCACTTGATGTATATCGTATAATAATGGGTAATCCATATTTGTGAGATAATGCTTGTAAGAGGAGAAAACAAGTATAAAATTAGTTGGTCTATTGTTCCACCTTCAGAAATGGAGAAGACCACCAAACTAAATGATCTTAATGAGGGTTCAAGTGCTCTATTCCCGTTAAAAAGTAATAGAAGTATCAACCCTGTTATTAATTTCCCATAAATGAAAGAAAATGAGCTATCTTGGCCTACTTAAAAGTCCATAGCTACAATAAAAAAAAGGAAAAAATAGGTTCAAGTGAAAAAAAAGACTTTTTATTTGCAAGAGCAAATTGATCTAAAAGGAAGATTCGTCATTTAGGAGCTTAAAAATGTTTGCATAGTTGACCTTTAAATGATTGATTTGCAAATATACATTGAGTGATGACTTATTTGTTAACTTGCAATTTAAAAAATTCAAATAAAGGGCATTTAGGAGAGGAGAGAGAAAAATAGTTTGAGTGGATCAATGAAACTATCCATTTCTCCTCCTTATTTTAAGTTTTGATTACTTAAGAAGGAATCTGTAGTTAATCATTTTTGAGTGGTATTTTCTATCTACTATGTTCTTTTGAAGTTGAATAAATTTCTAAATTTATTTTTTGATCTTGATGAATGAGGATCAAATTTGTAATATGAATTCAAGTGGGGAATTGAATGGAAATATATTTTTCATTTTCTAAATTTTCTCTTTCAATGGTTGTCGTCTTGCTCACCCTCGTTTATCAATTGTTGTTGTCACAACACTATCGATGGCCTCCCTTGCTTGAAAATTATTGGTTTCTTATACTTATAGTCATAAGAATTGAAATTGTATCAGTCGATCTCTTCTTCCAACATTGGGTATCTAGAACCCTTTTTGTCTTAGTTGTAGCTCCATAGATGTTGGTGGAGAGATGAGGAGTAAACACACAATAACAAAACAAGCAAGAAAGTAAAAGTAGCGGAAAGTAAGGAACGCCAAGATTTAACGTGGAAAAACCCAAAATAGGGAAAAAATCATGAAGCCACACCATACCAAAAAAATCCACTATGAAAATTTGTAGAAATAAGTACATCTCACTTCTCTCTCACTCCCTCCTTAGCTTCTCTTCTCACATGCAATATTCTCATACTTGCCCTAACTAAAAATACAAAAGAAAGCCAAGTAAAATAACTCCAAGGGACGCAACCCTTCAGAAAATGAGAAAGAAAACCGTCCAGTTTTCGCTGCGTTGCGACACCAGTTTGGGGCGCTGTGGTGCCTAGGTTCTGTGGCGCCTAAGTTCTGTTTGACAATGTTGCAGCACTCAAACACTCATCGTTGCGGCGTTCAATCTCTGTTTTGATCCGTTGCGGCATCATATCTTGAATGCTACGGTGCTCTGCTTTGTGTCATTCAACGTTCGGGAACACATCGTCGGGGCACTCGGGTACGCAGCTCCGAAGCGTTGTACGGGAAAAAAATTGGGTGCAAAGCACCCGAAGCCAAGCAGGGGTAAATCCCCCGCAGCCCCCAATGTACACGACATGCTTTGAGATCTGATACAACATAATAACAGGATTAATCAACATAATTAGATTCTACACAACAATAGATTCGACTGCTGGAAATCTGTACAACAAATATACTTCCTGCTATGCTCTTCAGTTTATAACCCAAAACAATAAATTCAGTTCTGTTTAAGGAAGAAGATCGTGAGGAAACCATTATACCTTAATCCATTTCACAGAAAATCTAATTCCTTTGTCCTAGAAACTTCCTACAAGTTTTATAATGCACTCGACACCCAATTCCAATCATTGTTTCATGTCATCTTCTTTGTTTTGGTTCTATTAATTCAAATCCCTTTTATTTTAAAAAAATTTCTCCATTTTTTAGCTTTTCACTGACTTCAAAAGAGGTATACCCATTGAAATTACATTAAAATCAACAACTATTATATATCAAGACATTACACTTACGACCATGTTCTTAACCAATTCAAAAATCAATATAAAAATATTTTTGATAGATGATGTAATTCTATGATTGGAAATTCTTGTTCACTACTTTTAATCATTCATTGCTACATCATACATATATTTTGCAATTTCATTGTATCTTGGCATGCACTTTTTAATTTAATGTCAGCTAAATTAATTCTCATTGTGTTTGATCATATATATACTCAATATCAATAAACACCGAATGATGATCTTTGGTTTCTCTCTATGTTTGTTCCAGTAATTACCTCCACCCCAAAATCACATACATTCTAGATCTTTTTGGCCTAAATTAAGTCCTTTCTCAGTACCAATATGATTTTTGTAAGCTTGTGTTCTATCACACACTCATAGTTTAAGGATATAACTCATAAGTTTTATTCAACACAATCCTGAACTTCCTTTTTGTTCTTTTCTCCAGTCATTTGCATTCTTTAAGTTTTTAAAACTTCATTAAAAAACTTTATTTACTAAGTTATTTTAATATCTCTTGTAACTATCAAAATCTTATCAAGTAATTCTTTCACTCTATAAAATTACATATATACATGTTTATTATTACAATTTGATTTTTTTTATTAATCTATATTATATTATATGATTTTATATTTTCTTTAAAAAAAATTGTCCTTAATTTATATCTAATAATGTTAAAAACAGATCTTCATCTTTCCTTTTTATATTAGTCTTTAAATAAATACTCACTAGCTTAACTTTTTGTATTTCTAACTTAATCACCATATTATATGATTTTAGATTATATATTTTTCTCTAAAAAAATTTGTCCTTAATTTTTTTATCTAATAATATTAGTTTTTTTGTTTTCATATTTCCTTTTTAGATTAGTCTTTAAATAAATCCTCAGTATCATGAGTTGCTGTATTTCTAATATGATTAATCTTGAAGTCTTATTTTTTTTTGTGACTTAAGCTGTTTTATAAATCTCTTTTCCTATTTATTGGCATTTGGCCTACTGTACTAGTTTGATACAACTTGGAAGTAAAAACAACAAATAAAAGATTAGAACAACATAAGAACACCAATATACGATTGATTTTCTTGTTTCTTCTTCAATAATAAAGCAAGGTATAATTGATCTACTATTTGAGAGGTAGATTAGATCTCTCACAAACCCTAGACGTAGCTAGAATCTCACAACAAATACTAGAAAAATAATCTCAACAAAATCATACCTTCATAGACAAACTCCTCCTTAAATAGCCATAGAACACAATAACTCTATTATAATCTTCATAATCGGCATAAACATAATTTAGAAAATCTTTCTAAATAAATAGAACATTTCTAATCAACATAAATATAATTTAGAAAACCTTCTTAAATAATTAAATATGATTTAGAAAATCTTATGAAATAATTAAATATGATTTAAGAAACTTTCCTAAACAATTAAACATATTTTAGGAAATTTTCTTAAACTATTAAACTCTTTCTAAATAGCATAAACATAGTTAGAAAATTTTCCTAAACAACTCCCCCCTTGATTAGGAACATTCATAAATAATTTTTCTTAATTAGAAACTTTCCTAAACAATTCCCTCTTTTTTAGGAATCTTCCTAAACAGTTCCTCCTTGGCTGTGGGCCCCTCAGCATATCAGTCTTTAAAAATATCGTTTAAACTATGTTAACTTCACCTTCTCAATACTTTTAGCATACATATTATTATAATATGACTCTGTTGAGTTTTTAAACTTTTATTTGAAAGAATATTCCTTTAATAAATTTGTGTACAAGATTTTCTTTTTCTTAGAAAAATTTTGTGCCTCCTTATCTTATCATGGAGTTATATTTCTAAGCTTTTATAATTTTCATGACAGTTTTACTAAACTAGTACTATTTTAAGTTTTTAACACATATAAGTTAGTTTCATTTTTAAAATTTTACTTTGCAACTCTTAATAAGATTCTTAACTTTACCCCTTTTAAACTCCACAATTTAATAAGAGAGTAACTATTTTGTTTGATTGTATTTTTATACCCTTAAGATACATTTATAAACATTTTATGCTGCAAGCTCAAATTTTTTATTCTTCTAAAATCATCTTAACATGTCTCTCTCTGTCTCCCCCTCCACCTTCCCCTCTGCGTAAATTGTGCATGCAGCATAAAATTGTTGCTATAAATGTATCTTAAAGGTATAAAGTATATTTACAAATTATGTTTGAATAATTATGTTTAAATACTGACCTCATATAGTGGGATAAAGACTTGATGATGTTATTGTTATGTTCAGCTAGCTCCTATTTTGTATCTGATAAGCAATGCCGAGCATAAAACATGAACGTTTGAATTTCATGTGCTAGTTTATTTCCATTTCTCGCTATTGCATTCTCTTTATTTTCTGTTGGTGTGCCTTTGGGTGGGTAGTGAATGTTTTATGTGTAATGGGGTGTAAACTTTAACATCAGCTTATTTGTAATATTGTCTTCGCAGTTCCTTGAAACTGGCCCAGAACTGGGAAACAACTATTCCGAAGTAATAGCGCCTCAAGATGTCGCTACTTATGGTGGACTTTGCGCTCTGGCTTCTTTTGACCGGACAGAGCTGAAGGTATGAATCATGAAATTATTATTTGTCTTGAGTTTTTTATTGCATCTATCCCGCCACCAACAGCACTGCCTCCGTTGAATCTTTAAAAAATGAAAAGCTGGACTCGAGTCATTTATCTTCTTCAACTGAGTCTTACTAGCTTTTGTTTTTTCATTTTACAGAACAAAGTCATAGACAATATCAGCTTCCGAAATTTCCTAGAGTTGGTGCCTGAAGTTAGGGAACTTATTAATGATTTCTATGCAAGGTAGTGTTCTTTGACTTTCCTGAAACCTTTTTCTGTCACTTAATTTGATCATTTATGATACTTAATACTAGATTTAATTCTTGCTTGCAATTTTTACTCCACTATCTAGTTTAGGTAACTCCAATGAATATGAGAACTAGCAATTGGTTCAAACATAGATTTACTATATAGAGAGATGCGGAAATCAATCACTAGAATTAATAAGATTATGATCATATGTGATTATGTGCTGCATACCTAGAACTGCCCATGTAAACACGCTACATTATTGAAAATAATCTGAAAATATGCAATAGCATGAAATTGATTTTATCTTACGGCACCGACTGTTTTGAATTTTTAATTAAACCACATTTAATTGATAGCCATCAAATCTGGCCAGCCATGAATTTTAATTTGATTTTTACTTAAAGCATATTTGAAAACTAAGTACGTCAGGTATGCCTTTATTCTTAAATTTGAATGGCATATAATACAATTTGAATATTAATATTTTAATCAATATTAGCTATAACATCATGTAGGCCATTATTTTTAAAATTTAATTCAATTCGAAATTCCTAACTATATTTTTTATTATTAAATCATGCATGCCGCTTACTTTATTTAATAGTAAATTAGATGTATATGATATATGATATATGATATTAAATTGAAATTTACTTAACTTTTTAACTTGGGGCCCTCCAACTAACAATTTAATTTAATTTTTATTATATTTATTGTTCTTGCAAAACTGGGCGGTATTTATTATATTAATTGTTGTGGAATTCCAGAGGCCTATAAAAGATACCAGCAGTATGATGTCATTCCTTTTAAATAATGGTCAATTTAAGATATTTTTTTCCTGTCATTCCATGTGAATCTATATTAGTTTCTAATTCTGAGTAGAGCTAGTGTGCTTGCTCAAAAGTAGAAAATCGCACCGTGGAATAGTTTGATGACCTTTTTTTTTTCTTTTCAAGTATTTCATGTACAGGTGTTACCTTTATTATTCACAAAACCTGTTATGTCAATGCATGGTGCATGCTCTATTATCAAATCACAAATGCTTCGTGGATAGTGAACCCAGCAGACTTAAAAGTCTTGTGCCTACATACTCCTGTAAAACCTTCCTTGTTCCACAAAATAATAATAATAATAATAATGATTGATAGTTCAGGTGATCATCTTTTCTTTTGCACTCATTTAGGGATAAATTTTAAGATATGTATGCAAATTGCGTGCACCTTTTTTTTTCAAATTTCTTGATGATGCACTTCTCATATCAAATTCTTCGGGATTTATCTTGAGGGGATTGAAGCACCGACTGATTGATTCTGAAGGTAGCGGGCAATACCATATTAGTTAACTCATTGGATAGGGATCTAATACATTCGGATGTACTGGTTATGAAAGATTTATTGTTAGTCATTTAGATTTTATCTATTAAGATAAATTTTGAATTTCTCATTCGAAGCAGAACCTGCTTACTTTAATTGTGTTGTCAATTTTGATGTGTTTGCTCATACTAAGTTTTCCATTGTTTGGTTGCTGCTTGGTCATAGCTTGATGTTATGAATATTAATTTTAATTTCTCATATTTTTTCATGAATGATTTACACGAAAGCTTATCATCAAAACCTATGCTCATGGCAAACTGATGAAAATATAACATCTGTTGCAAAATAGTGTTTTTTTCATTACAATAAAAGATTTGTAATTGTGAAACAAATGCTGCTAATTGACTTGGAAATGTGAAGCTGAGCCTTTTGAATGCAAAATATTTTGCAGTAAACAATTAATTTGCCATAAACCAAACACCGTGTTATGTAACTTTTTTACTTCTGGTATACCCTATAAGATAGATGCCGTGCACTGGCAAATAGTTCGATTTAGCCATCTAATTCTGAGTGAGTTGTAGAAAATAAATATAATATGATAACTCAACTGGCTATGCATATTTATGCATTAGTCTAAGGCTTTTATTGACTTTGAAAATCATACATTTAATAAAAAGGGTGATCAACCAAATACCGATTGCACATCTGTGGTCCTCCCATATGTATATGTTAGTCTAAGTTTTTTGCTAACTTTGCAAATCATACATTTAATAAACAAGATGATCAACCAAATGTTGATTGCACATCTGTGACCCATTAAAGGGGTTAAGATTGATTATTATGTTTTAAAAAAGTAGCTTTAAGAAAGGTATGCATTTAATTTTAAATATTTTTTATGGTTATTTTTAAAGTTGTTGCGTCCAGAAATATTCGCGACAGTAGAGAAGAATAAAGTTTAGCGTCTTAGCATTTACGAAGATCCAGCACGCAAGCAGAAAGAGAGAGATCAAGACACTCAATCTTTTTTACGTGGAAAACCCGAAGAGGGAAAAACCACGTGGCCTCGCCCAGGTGAAAAGATTACACTAAACTTGAGTGAATTACAAGGGTTGACCCGTCCCTCGATTTAGAGGTGGTCAGATTATAGTAATTTGAAGAGTTAGTCAAAAGGACTGATGACGGTCGGACGAAAATCCGACGGCTTTAGTGCAGAAGTTGCTGACAAGGAACGATTTGATGAAGGTCTGACGGTGAACGGGTCGGGCGGTGGTCCGCGCGATGGCCGGGCTGAAGTCCAACGGGGTGGTTCGGCGTTGGTCGGCTGCGGGCGGTGGTCCGATGAAGGTCGAGCAGAAGTCCGGTGGCTGCCGGGCGGTGGTCCGACGAAGGTCGGCTAAAGTCTGGCAGCGGTCGGCGGCCAGGCGGTGGTCCGACGAAGGTCGGCTGCAGTCCGACGGCGGTCGCGGCCGGGCTGAAGTTTGCGCGTGGTCGGCGGCCAGGCGTGGTTTGACGAAGGTCGGGCTGAAGTCTGGTGGCGGTCAGCGACCGGGCGGTGGTCGACAGCCGGGCAGTGGTCCGACGTAGGTCGGGCTGAAGTCCAATGGCAGTCGGGCGGCTGGGCGGTGGTCCGACGAAGGTCGGGCTGAAGTCCGGCAGTGGTCGGAGGCCAGGCGGTGGTCCGACGAAGGTCGGGCTGAAGTCCGGCGACGGTCGGCGGTAGGGTGGTGGTCCGACGAAGACGGTCGGCAGCCAGGCGGTGGTGCTAGAGCTCTTGAAGCTTCAGAGCTCTCCCTAATCTCTCGCCAAGCCCCCCTTCATGTAGAGAGTGGGGGTTTATTTATAGATTTTCATGAGTGACACACCCCGTAAATCTAAAGAAGATCCGGGGCAGGTTCAGAGTGCTCCATCGGATGGCTCGTATTGATTCCTACGATCTTAGAGAGTTTTTCAACCGTTTAAGTGCCTTAACAGTGTCGAAATCCAGAGATCTTGGGCTCGTTGGATTCGTTTCGCCAAGACGCTCGATTTGACTATAAGCATGCCATATTGGGATATCATTTCATTATTCAAATAATGCTTTAACCCTTCCAAACGTGGTCCGGGCCCCCGATTCGGACCCATTTGGGCTTGGGTTGGACCAATTTTGGTGCTATTTGGTTCTTCCCTTTGAGATGTTCAATTTGACTATAAGTTTACTGAAATTGGAATTCAGATGATCCCAAATTTAATTTTGAAAGTTTTCAACTTGAATATGCCCGAGATTCATGCTCGATCAAGGCAATTTTTGATGACGTAGCAAAAGTCATTTGCTTATTTAGGGTAGAAAATTTAATATCATAAGAGCTTAAAGATAACACAACTCCAGGCCACCCCCAATCAAAATATATGAACAATATTATGAAAAAAAGGCATGCAGTTCTAAGGAGAAAAAAGGCATGCAGTTGTAGTGCATGATCAAAGTAAACAATTAGTCACAACCATAGCATAAAAAATAAAGAAAGGCTCATAGTGTAGTTGGGTTTGTAACACATCAAGAAAAAGATAAGAATGTTGTTGTGCTCTATTATAATTACAATTCAACTTAGAAACTACATTAAAAAAAATGGAACATCGGGTCTTGAATGTCTCCATTTGTTTTGGCATTTGGCTTCCTGGCTTCTAAAATAATTCACATACTTATATAGCTTTCCTAAGCTAAAAGTACATGAGTGAAACAAAATTATAAACCCGTCCTTATAAAAAAATGATGTTAGCATAATAAACTTGTATACACAAAGCCCAACACGGATTTGTACCAAGCTATAGCGTGCGTTGGCTATGTCTACTCAAGGCTTAAGCTTATTATCATAGCACCTGGAAGCAAAACAAGTTATATATATTTATTTAATTTAATTGCCCATTTTGGACATGACCACTTACAAGGTAGAACAATATATTTTTATTCTAAACACGTAAGAATGAGTGCCCACAACAACATCAAATCGGCATTAAAACAAACAAGCAAGCAAAACACCACATCAAATAATCACATCACATCACACTGTGAATAGAATGAAAATAGTTAGGTATGTGGTTTATTAATAACATTTATGGTGTATTGGATTGCTTTGACTGTTGATTACTGAATAAAATTAGCGTTATTGTGTGAAATTCTATTTGCACCTGATCATTTTTTTCTGCATGTTTGATTAAATAGTTAAACTATCATGAAAAGTATTGAAACTTAATCTATAAGTAATTTTCATCCTATAATGACAATTTACATTGTGATCTTGAGTTTGAACGCTAAATTACTATAGAAAGTGATAAATGCAAAAGAGAAACTAGGTTGATGCCCTGATTGTCATTCTCATTCTAGAAGCACAATCCATGCCCACTTATTTTTTCTTAGCTTGTATACATTCCATTTTATATTTAATTTAATTTAATTCTAGTTTGGTCTTAGGTCCTTCTCCGTAAGGGAAAACCTAATTTGAGATTTGAGATGTATTCGAAAGGAATGAAAGAGAAAAAGAAGAAGAAGAAGAAAGCAATGAAAGAGAGCACAAGTTCTGAGACAAATATTGAAAACCTTATGCAGATGAGAAGAAATTATTTGTTGGGGTGAGATTGTCTCACTTATATTTATGATCTCATGGAGAGGACATACCATTATAGTTTAAATTATATACATTAGAA